GCTGTATCACGAGGCCCTTCCCAGAGGAAAGGGCTCAGAGCCTGGGGTGCTGCTAATGTGTGCAGCTCTGCATGTGGGTTAGAGACGTTCAGGACCAGGGTATGGTGTCTGTGGCCTCCCTTGGTCAGGTTTCATTTGCCCAAGAGGAGGGAGGAAAAACAGGGATTTTCTTTGAACGTGTCCTTATAATTAACAGCATTTCTTTTACTGTGTGTGTTTTCTGTTTAACAGGGTGACAGATGAAGTGTTTAACTTTCTGTTAGTGTGGTATTACTGCACGCTGACGATACGGGAAAGCATTCTCATTAGCAATGGATCAAGGTACTGTGCCACCTGCAGACACTATTTAAAGCATGAAGTGTCCTTTAAAAGAAAAACAAGCAACAAAAGAGGATTCAGCTTAGCACTGAAGCCCAGTAAAACCAAGATGCTGATGCCTCTCTGCAGGGTCTCTTGTCTCCATCCCCCTTCCTGGTTGCTTCCCAATGCAGATGTGACCACCTGAGGCCTGGGGAGGGAGGAGAAGGTTCTGCCTCCCTACCACCCTGTACTTCACTATAATTTTCTGGCCTTTCTGCAGCATTTGTGTCTGAAAGAAGCAGCCACCTCATAGGAAGGACTTGAAAATGTCACTTACTGGCTTGGAAAGAAAAAAGGCTGTGTGGGCTGCACATCATTAGTCACTGTGGTACCTCATGCTGCAGGGGCTGCTGCTGCTTGCTGTGCTGGAGAGCTTGTGGGAGCATGCAGGATGTGTTCTGGTCCTGAGCCTCCCTCCAGCAGTTGCGGATTCATGGCTGAGATTAAGCCATACTGCCAGGACAGTGTTCCACAGCCCTTTTGCTTGAATCGTGCCATCTGTTTTGTTTCCTGACATTCCCCCCTCCCCAGTCAGAATCACTTTTTTGTCTGTAAGTGTAAAGCCAGACTTAACCGTGCTCAAATCCGTGTTTCTGGTCTAACTGCCACATTTTGTCTGTTCAGGATCAAAGGCTGGTGGGTCTCTCATCACTACGTTTCCACATTCCTGTCTGGAGTAATGTTGACATGGTGAGTCTGCTCTCGCCTGCTCGAGGTGCTTCACGCCTGCTTCATGGTGTTTGCATCATCTGAGTATTTAAATCCAGCATGGCCACAAAGCTGTGGCCATAGGGGCACATGGTGAAGCTTCAGACTTAGTGTATGTCTGATGTTACAGATGTTTTCAGTGATAAATACAACACTTAAACTTTGTATTTACATTGCTGAGCTAAAAAAGACAGAAGCCAACCCAAACCCTCAGCCACAGTTATGCTGATGGTGGCCAAATCTCTGCAAGACTCTTGATTTCTGTCTCTGTGTAACTGAGCAAATAATCATCACTTTGCTTTAGAGGGAGGACACCACAAAATGAATCTGTTTGGTGCCTTCACTGAACCCAGATGACAGACAGAATATAAAGCCAAACATGCAAGTTACCTTCCAAGGGGTGGTGTTGTTGGTCAAACAGTGCTGTAGTACAGCAGGACAGGCCCCTGTGCAACCTGTCTTGACTTTGGCATGAACTGATGAGTTAATTATTAAAGGTTGTTTGGAAACAACAAATGTTTCTGGTCCTGAATGTGTGAGGGGATGATGTAGTGGCAGGAGCAGAAGGTCCTTTGTCCTCTGACTGTCCTGACCTACCCTTGGGATAAGGAGCGCAACCATGCAGGTGCTGCTGAATGGCTTTGCTGCCTGGAGAAAGCTGTGATAGGCAAATGAATAAGAGGGGACAGCATTTATGCATGTTGGAGAGGGGAAACCTGATCAGTGAGGGCATTTCCTACACACCAGAGTTGGGATATGAGGCTGTAGCATCCTCTCTGGGCTCCCAATGGGGTGGAGCGGGCTGGGTACCAGCTGCTTGCTTCATTTGCTAATGGGATCTGGCTTGGTGGTGAAGGGGAAGGGCACTGCATCATCTGCTTCTGATCAAACAAATAGACCTCCTTTGTATTTTGCTTTCAGGCCAGATGGACTCATGTATCAGATGTTCCGCAGTCAATTTTTAGCATTTTCAATATTTCAGAGTGAGTATCTCTTCCCTTGCTAATTCATGGGCTAAAAGAGCTTTGTGTCTTATGTGCTTAGAAGAAAACACTTCTGTTTGGTAAATACTGGAGTATTAAACTGGGAGAATATAAAGATAACAAATATGCAGTGTGCAAAGATAAACAATAATTTAAATGCTCTTGGATTAAACATTATTAAAATTATTTGATACCTTTATTATGCTTCTCAACAGCCAATGCAGTGATGTTTTCTCTCTCCTTCTCGAGGTTGTGTTCAGTTCTTACAGTATTATTACCAAAGGGGCTGCCTTTATCGTCTCCGTGCTTTGGGGGAGAGAAACCACTTGGACCTCACAGTAGGTGAGGTTTTCTGCAGTACTTTCTTTGTGATGATTTGCACAGGTTTTGGATGCAGTGATAGGGAGAGGGGCTGTGTGGCCTCCTGAGAGAGCTGCCACCCCCCTGCCCTGCCAAGTGTCCTAAGGCAGGAAGGGGAGTGAGGCTTTTATCCCCCTCATTGGGTCCTGTGGGTTGGGAGCAGAAGGCTCTGATCTCTGTCAGGTCTTCAGAGGGTTAAGATGGAGGTTTCTGTCGCAGAATCACAGATTAGTTTGAGTTGGAAGGGACCTTAAAGCTCATCCAGATCCAACCCCTTGCAATGGGCAGGGACACCTTCCACTAGAGCAGGTTGCTCCAAGCCCTGTCCAACCTGGCCTTGGCTGCTGCCAGGGATGGGGCAGCCACAGCTTTATCCTCTTCCCATTACCACACCTTTATACATCTTAAATTGCTAGGTTATTGCAGAGCAGGACAGGAATAGCCCTTATGGGGTGGTCTGGGTGGGAGGGCTGCAGCTCCAGTCCTGGCTGTTACATGTTCACTCTCTGCCCTTTCTGTCAACCTTTTCCAGAAGGATTTCAGTCCTGGATGTGGCGGGGGCTGACCTTTCTCCTTCCCTTCCTGTTCTTTGGGCATGTAAGTTGGGCAGTCCCGTTTCTTGCTTTGTGATGCAGGACCTGGGTGGCTGCAGCACCATAAAAAGGTGCTGTGGATCATGTGCACCCTTAAGAAATGTTTCTAATGGTTTGGTTGATTTGGTTTTCCTAGTAGTGAAATTGCTTTTCTTTCTTTCTCTCCTTTGTAGTTCTGGCAGCTCTATAATGCAATCACACTTTTTGGATTGTCGAGGCATAAGGAGTGCAAAGAATGGCAGGTGCGTGTTGGTTCTGCTCAGAAATAGCACAGAGCAAGGGGAGAGGGGGTGTATCACCACATCCTGAAGGATATTTGGGCATCTGACTCCATCGAAACATCTCAGGATGATGTGGCACAGAGCCCACACAAGGGAACTCAAATGTGAGTTACTGTAGGGAAGCTTGCCACCCATGGGTGACTGCACAGACTGAAAGGCAGAGTGTGTAGGGGAGAAAACATATGTGGGTAAATACCGCGTTGTTGATGTATATGGGGGTTTAGTAGCAATGGCTGCTGAGTTGCTGGTGGTTCTTTATGGCTGAAGCATGGGTCATGTATACAGAAATACGATGACAAAAAAATGATGGCAATGAATCACTTAAAAACATACTGTCCCCATCACTGCCCTGTTTTTAGGGATGCTTCCACTTGTTTTCAGTTGCTGTCACCTATCAAACATGTCTTTCCAGCTGTACTATTGCTCCTGTAAATCCGGATTGGACTCCATCACATGTGCAGTGCTGCACATAATCTGATGGTCTTTACTTTGTTTGCATCTTGCAGTAACTTGTGTGCTCACCTTGATCGGAGGAACACACCTTCCCACAGAAACATATTGTTCCCCACGCCTGTGTCTCTGCTGTTCCATGGACATAATGTTAATCCATTACATTTAACTTAATGATTTGGTTTTACTGTCTGGTCGAGTCTGGCAGTGTTAAATATAATCCATCTTACAATATTGAAAGTAGTAAATGCTACTTAAATGATCACACTGTTAACCCACACAGCTGGATGTGTGGATATATATTGGACTATGACCTTTTCTCCTTGGATCTCCATGCTAATTGATGCCTGGACTTGCCAACCAAAGCCCCATCAGAACTCATTTAATGTGGCCAAAGCAGTACCCTCAGCTCTCACCTTGGTTGTTTCTTCCCCCCCCCCCCCCGCCTTCTCTCCCAGGTTTCTGTGTTGGCTTTCACGTTTCTGCTGCTCTTCCTCGGGAACTTCCTCACTACCCTCAAAGTCGTGCACACTAAACTGCAGAAGAACAAAGACAAAATGAAGAAGCTGTGACCTCCCCCCCTCCCTGGGTGCTGGCTGCCATCCTGCTGCCCGTGGCAGGCACTGGGTTTGGAGTGGGTCCTGATAAACCCCAGCTACACAATGGACAGGCTCGGAAGGAGTCATCGTCCCCGTGTTTGGTGAAGGATGTGGACTGCCAGCACAGACTCAGTATTACCACAAGCATGGCTCTCCAGTCTGCAGTCCTGCTATTTATGTCTATTTAATACAAACCATGTTTGCTTTTGGGGTTTTATTTCTGTATATAGAGCAGCATGCACCTGCCCAGCAAAGTGCCAGCATTGGGAGAATGTGGAATCTACTGTAATTCCAGTTCTGGAATGCTATTTAACACTTTTTATTATTTAAATTCTGGGTACTGGATTTGCAAAGGCTTATGAATACTCCAGGTTGGTCAGTAACACAGACCAAATGCTGTTTTTAAAGGCATTTGTTGAAGGTGTGTTCTCAGTGGCAATACCAACCTGTGTGTACTGTGAAAAAGAAGCCCATCTTTGTACCGTATTGCTGCTATATATACACTTTTCAGAAGCTATTTAAAGAAGAGAAATCCTCTTTTGGAAACAAAACCAAGCAAGCAAAAGCAGTTTTTAAATGGCAGGGAAGTCTGCTAGCCTTCTTCCAGGGAGACCAGGTCAGCTGGCCAGGCCTGGAACAGACCTAAAATAAACCATTCAATATACAGCTGCTTCAGCCCCTTTTTAATAACACACTTTGCCCTTTGGGTTGGTTTTTCAGACACTGTTCTGGAAAGGTGGGGGACAGGCTCAGCAGAAATACTAAATACTGCCTTTAGATGCTGCACTTGTACCAGTAATTAAGAGAATGTAAAGACTCGTTCAGGAGGGATGGCATTAAGTACTGCCAGTACATTAAGTACTGGCATCCTGCTGAGCTCCTTGTGCTGCTTGAACTTACTCATCCAAATCAGCTTGTTTTGGGTGCTGCAACATCTGTACCTCCTAAGGCCAGCTCAGTATTGTGAGCTGCTTTAGGCAGTGTTCTTCCCAACTGTAAACCCTGCCTTTGAGCTAGCACAAAGGCCATACTGGGCACATGCTTTGGCAGAATGTGATCCCAGAGTGATGTCCTCCCAGCAAGTGTGCTCCTGAAGAAACACATCCACACCACAGGCTTGAACTGGTTTCAACAGTTCCCTTGCTGCAAGGCAGCAAAATTACAATGTCGCTGTCCTGTGGGCATGAACAATATTGAAATGAGATAATGAAAGGCAATTTGCATACTTTGAACAACTGTCACACTAGTTGGGCTGTATCTTGCTATGTTACCTTCTGACTTCTGCATACCCTGTGAGTCTGGGGTTTGTTTCATCCTTTGAACTCTCCATTTATGAACTGTAAATTGTTTTATTTTGAGAGTGATGCTGGAACCTGCTGGATCGGAGCAGTGGACCTGCAGGGATGGGCAGCTCTGCTCGTGGTGAGTAACGAGTTCTGCAGCACGAGAAACTCGGATTAAAAGAGCAAGAAAGCTTCTCTCCATGGAGCTGAGGGTAAACACGTTCACTTCCTGCACGTTCATGTTTCAGTTTCAGCTGGGTAAGGTGAGGAGTGGTTCTTTGTCTTTTACTGACAGATCTCTTCTAGTGGCTGTAATGTACAACTCTTCATTATTTTTGTATAATCAAAGATGTCTGCAAACTTCTTAGTTTTTCATTTTCCATTTTAGGCTAATAGGGATTCATTAATTCAATGAATTAATTGATTGAAAAGAAGCTGGAGAAGGAGAGGGGACAAAAAAGAAAGAGTAAGATTTCAAGGATCAAGATCTCTTTATCCTGTATTTAAAACACTAATGATGCTTCACTCCAAACCAGTTTTTCACCAGCTGGTCTTGTACCCAGCAGAGGATAAAGCTCTGATAGACGGTTACTAGGCTCTATGTGTAATGTTTAATAATAGACTCCTGGCATGCACCACTTACAACCTTTAGCCAAAAGCTTTATCACCTTTCCATGAATCCTATGCATTTTCCCTTAGGATGGGATGTAGCTGACCTTATCTTTCAGCAACACCTGTACTGCAGAAACCTCCTTCCCCCTTGCAGGCTTGGTTTATGGTGGTTACAAAACAGTGATTGCTCCTGAAATTCTGAGATCTCACTGCATGGGATGTGCAAAAGAACCAGGAGCTCTGAGGTTGTGCAGTGGGACCATCCCTCCTTAAACACCACCTTCATCACAAAAGGGAAAAGTTTAATTTACAGCAGGAGAGATTTCACCAGGTAAAAAACATGAGTTAAGTATTTCTCATAGAATGCACCAGTATTTTCATCTGTGATGTATTAAATAAGCTATGCAAGTTTACTGTAAAACTAACTTTACATTATAAAATAGCTGCTTAGACCAATTCTAACTGTAAATTATTTTCCACGATATTCCATTTCTGAACTGGAGCAACCAGTGCATCTCCACTGGTAAATGCCACTTTCCATTGCAGCAGCAGGTCATGTAAGGAGACCTCTCAGGGTGCAGCTCTGTAAAGCTGGCCCAGCAGCACAGGTGAGTAGTGGATGCTCCATCAAAAAGTTAAGACAGAACTTCATCTCTTTATCATCAGAGCTGCTCTAGCATCACTTCTAAAAGATGTGGCTTTTCTCCTTGGAAAAGACAGTAAATTGTAGCTATAACATGGCACAATTATTTTGCAGAGTTAAAACCACCCCCCCCGATTAACTCACACACTAGCAGTTGCTTTTCATTGCAATTGAAATAGCGAGTCCAAGACCTGACTAGTGGTTGGCTGCAGTCAGGAGCAAAAGCCAGGTGGACAAAGGCACACTGCATCAGTTAAACTGGATGAAGAGCTTTGAAAAGCTGGTGAGAGCAGTGCCACAAAAGTGCAAAAATAGTAAAAATAATTAAAAATGAATATAAAAATTGTTCTAGAAACACAAACGTGCGATTAAAACCCCAGCCTTTAACGTCGGACTGTTTCTAAACCTGAATGGCCCGGCTGTGGTGCAGTCAGTGCTCTCCTACTGTCCGGATCATAACACCGAGCACACTCGCTGGTTCTTTTGCCTCTTGGCTTTTTTCAGGGTGTTCAGTGCAATGGTGGTGGCTTCTTTAAAAACGTTTTCGATGTTTTCCCGACACTTGGCTGAGCACTCCAGGTAAATTTCTGCGTGAATCTGCTGACAGGCGGCTTCCCCCTGCAGAGCACAAAAGGTAAGAGAAGATGTAAAGCCAATGTATGAGAAGGGATATGAGGTGGGAAAAAAGGGGGTTATTTTGTACATCATACCATGAGCTCGGGAAGAAAGAAGCTGCCTCTAAGTATAATATTAAGAGTGTAAGTGGCATTGGTAATAAACTGAGGCACTGTTAAATGAACCATTTTTTCCCCCCTGTGTTGATCCAGAGCCTGGCCTAAGTTCAGTGCATTAGAGACTAAGATACAGACTGCTGATAGTGTAAAAACATTCTCAGTGTTAAATCTGTTTAAAAGAAATGCTGAGGTAGATACTCGTGAGGATAAGATGTCTGCACAGCAATGTTTCTTCAGGCCTGACCTTAACTGTTATGTGATGTCACCTTTAGTAATGAGTGTCACATGCAAGAGCTGAATGTAGACCAATGTCTTGCCTTCTTTGCTGGTGCACATGCAAGAACCCCAGCTTTGGCTTTGGAGCATCACAAGAGCTCAGCCAAAATCCTCATATATGTAAATGGGTGTCTTTATAGCATTTCTCAACCTCACCCCAGTGCATGCAATGGGAACAGGCCAGAATCTGAAACACTTGCATGCAATCCTGGAGTGTGAAATCACCACAGATGTAAGACAATGGCTTCTTACTTTGCTTGTGATCCTTTTGTCATTGCAGTCAGCCCCCACTTCTGAATGCTTATGAGCCTTAGAGTGGGAATTTCAGGTCTGCAACCCACAGCTCACAAACTCTGTATTTATTCATTATAAGCCCTCGGAGTGGGGTCACTTGAGCACTCAGGGTTCCATAGGGGAGTTTTTCTTCATCATGTTTAAGTGAAGTTTGTCTCCTTCCAGTGGTTCACAAGCTGCAGTGCTGGCAGATACTGTTCAGCTCCTCTGGGCCTGGCACTGGAAGCATCCCTTTGCATGACTCAAGATGCCACCAGCTGTAAAAGACTGAGGTAGTGTATATTTAAGGGGAGAAAAACCAAGTGGGAGGGTTCACATAGGAGATAAGTTTGTACATCTTGTGGGCCCTGGGAGTTGATCGCATGAGGCCCCAGAAGACTTGCCTAAAGTGTCTGTTGCTTGTCCTCAACCTCACACGTGGGGGTGATGTGAGTTAATAACGCAGATGAGGGAGCAGCTGTTCACAAAGCAACAAGATGGGCATCTCATCTTGAGTGCAAGGAAGACAAGCTGAATGTCCCCATGTACTTTAGTGGTGATGCAATTGCAGTTTCTTTTCATGCTGCTTAGAAAAAGCAGCGATTCAATCAAGGTCTCGTTGCAGTTAACCTTGTTCCCTGGACTTGCGTCTCGAGCAGTCTGGAAGCTGCTGTTCTTTGAGATGAGATGAGATAGCTTTGTTGTTTAAACAAGGTAGGAGATGAGCTGAAAGGGCCCATGTGACATGGAACAAGCTGTTCCATCACTGTTTCTCCTGTACTTAGGACAGCCATGTCAGTGATGTAACAGTGCTTCAGAATACTTAAATTGAAACCATTTGATAATATGTAGGTATTTTTAGGATCACTTTAAAGAAAAGCCTCTTACATTAGAGAAGCCTTGCAGATGTTGTTGCTATTGTCCTTGAAAGGATTTATTTTTAAATAGGGTTTGCAAAACTCTTTTTTTCCAGAAGTGTTTTTAATTCTGTAGCCTGTATCCTGGCATCTCCATTCTTTATCACAATCCTGATCAAAGTACGAATCATAGGAGCAATGTATGCTCATAAAAATCATGAAGGGAGTCCAACAAACTCATCAAGGCTTAAAAATCTGTAGCAGTAATAACCCAGCTGTGAAAGGAAACAAGGAGATGTAAAGAGCATAGAAGGAGTAGCCAGTAGTGTCCTTTCAGACACCCCAATATATGCAAAACACTCTTCAACTTCTCTTAACTTTGGTACTAAAAATGAGTGGTGATTTGGCCACTTCCAGAAACAATTTCCAGAAACCCCTCTTAGTGCTGTCAGTAATTCCTTTATCTGGATGCTGTGAGCATCTAATTCTGGAATACCTGTGACTCTACTTGTGAGGAACGATGCTATTGAAGTGTAACTGTGCTTCATCTCTTGCAAAGAGAACACCATTTTAAGCGCACTTGTACTGACCTGGTTGTAAGTAATGGGTTCCTGCTTGGAAGCCCTGAGCTTGCGCAGCAGTTCCTTGTCTTTGCGAAGGTCTGTCTTGCAGCCGATCAGCACGAGCGGGACACCGCGGCAGAAGTGATTCACTTCAGGGTACCACTGATGGTAGAAAGACAAAGACTTTACAGCTGTCTTCTTTCTTGCTTCAAATGAAAATAATAAAGCCAAGGGACGTTTATTGTATGTTGCAATCTCAGTGTTTTGGAAGCTGTTCAGGTAGTGGCAGGGACCCAACACATGCTGTTTACAGTCTACAAACATGTAAAAGTCCTACCCAAAGTCAGTTGCTTTCTAAAATATAGGTGGCATCTATTATTATACCAAAGTGCTTATTTAACATCTGCTTAAGTTCAGAAGAGCTCCTATTAGTCATATTTAAGAGCAGAATTTGGGCCAAGTCTTGCTTTGTTTTGCTGGTGTCATGTACAGGGGCACTAACTTCTACTTTGGGGCATTACAGAAATCCCAGTACAGACAAGGGGTTGCTTACATCTCTGTGCTGTAGCTAAGCATGCATGGGACGGAATCTAAACTGCTTGTGTGCAGTGCTGGTTGTGTGGCATCAATACAGATGGAACGGATAAAGCTGTGATTTCACCACTGGTGTACTTGTTGGTGTACTGCAGAATCCCAGTTCTGAGCTCCAGGTGTGAGCTCTGTGACCCTGCAGCTCAGTGTGTGGCAAGTGCATCCACATGCCCAGGGTCCAGGACACTAAAAGCACTGGCTGTTTTAATCTGACATCTTGTCCTGTATCAGGCCTATGCAATTAATTTAAAAGGTTGAAGCAATTATAAAAGCCTCTTGCCTTGGCTGCCACGTTATCATAGCTAGTGGGGTTCATCACATCGTAGCAAATCAACACAACGTTGGTGTTCTGGTAGGAAAGGGGTCGGAGCCGATCGTAGTCCTCCTGCCCTGGAACACAGAGAATGTTTTGGGTAGAAAAAAATCTCTGTCCTTAACGAGCCATATGATGGGAATAGGTAAAGATACATACTTGAGATCAAGAATAATGAGACTGTAATTGCAGAGACTGCAGGTTTTCCATTCTTGTAAAACACCTTCCCTCAGCACAGGGTTGGACTAGCTGATCTCCAGAGGTCCCTTCCAACCCTATCGATTCTGTGACATGCAGGAGATTCCCCTTCACTGACAAAAGTGATGCCTTAGGAAATGAAGTATGTCCTTGGCAAGTTAGAATAAAAAGCCTGCTAAGTACTTCAAAGCAGTTCCAACCGCCGAGTGCCAAGTGGCTGCTCACAAGCAGGATCAGTAAGAGGAATTTGACAGTTATCGATTAAAACATTTGCAATTTGGCAGTGACTTTGTCCTCCCTAATATACCATTTGCACACATGATGCTGTGAGGAGAAGAAACACTGTGTTTGCTAGACACAAATGCTGAAGTAAAACCCTCAGTGGCAAACTTACTTTTCCCAGCCCAGTGAGCTGAGAGGAAGCAGCACTACTGCTCAACATGCTGCAACAGGAGCCAGGCTTAACTGGTCTGTGAAGCCAGGACTACACAGCAGAGCTTAGGGATGCTCTGAATCCTGGAAAAGGAGAGGATTTGTCTGATTAGGGCTATTCTAGCACATGATCTGATGAAGAAGCTAATTTGCTTCAGACCCATACTCTTCCCCTCGCTGTACAGATGACTTAGCAGTAATCACCACACTGAGATCTGAAGGTATCTTGCTCAGAGAGATTAAGAAAGAAATAATTGCCAGATAAAGCTGCCAGCTCACGAAAAAATCCACAGTCTTTTACATGTGGATTTTCTTCAGAGACTTCAGGAAGACACCGTGACTTAAGCAGTCTGTAGATCTA